TGATGCGCTGTGTAAAAAGGAATATTTCCTCCCTAGACGGGTCCCCGTGATTTTCCCCCAATCGTGGTGGTCAAGAAATGGGAAAGTGCTTTCGCTTGGGCCAGTGTTTACAGGGATGAATATTGTAGCTTCTGAGTGATAACCAAGGTCCTTATTAAAATGATGATGCTTATGCTTATATCGTGGTAAAGGGCATGAACATTCCCGTACCTGGAATTCTGTCCCAAGAGTAATAAAAAATGCTCCGAATCTAAGCCTGTCTGCATTTAGGAAGCAGGCTTATCTATTTTTTTTTAACCTGGCCTTTAGAGTTCAGAGTTTAGTTATAAAAAAGTGGGGAGATTTAATTTATAGGTTGTCTTAATCTGTTTTGTGTGTGGACTTTTACGGAAAGTGTGCGGGTGCTTGTGTTTTTGCAAGTCTTTGGGATGAGATGTGCATATTTAAATAAGGAAGTTGCTTTTTTAGGATTGATGAAACCAATGCAAAAAAAAAAAAGAAACCTTCAGCAGCCACAATACATGGAGTGATGAGTGACTGTTATTATAAATGAAAAACAGTCATTTCCATGCTGTCTTTTGTTTCAAGGCCTGCTAAAAACCTTTGAGATCAACAGACCTTAAAATGCATGCTAGTTTGGAGTCAGTAAATTGGGCTTAGTTCCTGATGACAGCATGGAGAAATGTTTGCCATTTTGACTTGTCTCTGGTAATAACTAGTAGCTTCTCTGGAGACAGTTTTGTACTTAACTCCATTCATTTACCTTGTTTTTTTCCTTCTATTTTCCTCAATTTACCGGGTATAGCCATTTTTTTGTCACCTCACATGCTCAAAGCATGTGAATTTCTGCTTGCTGATCATACCTTTCAAGTAGCAGTCTTTATTTGGTCAAAGACTATTGGTTCTCTCTGCAATACATGGTACTCTTAATAACAATAATTCAAAGGTGTGTATATTCTTTCTCTCATCCTTTCTCAGTGTTGTCTAATGTTGCCATGCCTTGTCATTGGAAAGACTATTGCTTTTATGGTTCTGATTTTTGTTGTAATAGGAATATACTTAGTTTCATGATCTTGTCTAAACTTGTTATTGCTTTCTTCCCTATTCTGTTTCTCTAACATGCTCATCATCTTTCATCTTGAGCTAAAGATAACAAACTATACAGCATCTTCATTTTTTCAGAATTGGTGGTGAACTCACTAAATATATTAGTTGAAATTACAAGTTTTAAATATTTAACAATAAGTTACATTTTTACTTTCCAGTTACTTTCATAATTAGCTACTCTTCCAACTAACAGAGCTATAGTCTGCATATCACAAATAGGTATTGTCACAGCTACATCTGTTTGATTCTAGTTTTCTGTCATATATTCAAATCTTAGTATTTTTATATGTTCATGTAAGTTAAACATATGGGGACAATATATTTTGTGTGTTTGTGTATATGTGTGTTTATGGCTTACTTTTAATCTGATTTTGCAGATTTATTTTTTTACAATAGTTTCATTTTTGTTATAAAAAAATTCCTCAGAAAAATAATCAGATGTTCTGGCATACTCATTTCATTAACCTTAATATATTCAGTTCTGGTATGAACTATGAATAAAAAGCCTTGTTATATTCAGTAGAGCAAAGATAAATATCATATCCTTTGGTTTATCCATTATCTTAGGTCAACTATTGATTTTGCCAGTTGCAAAACCTGCCTATTTATTTGACATTTTTTCTGTATGTTTAACTATTGTTCTTTGTAAAATCTTAAACTACTGCTTTCAGTTTACTGTAATAATTTGCACATTCTTTTGCATGTCTCTGCTTTGGTGTCACACCAATCTTTTGCAGTCTCTTAAGATGTAGCCTTGTTCCTTATTTATTGATAATAAATCTGTTAGCACTTTAATGGCCTTCTTCTGTAGCTTTAAAGAATTCATTGGATATTTCATCTGCTTCTGATGCCTTTCTGTTTGACAAATGTGTCCATGCATGTAGCACCTCACCTATTACCTGTCCTTTTTTTTCTGCAAATGTTTCATCTATAATCCTATTTGTAAAGAAAGTCAATTCTGCATAGATTTTCTATTTTCCTTTGCACCCATATTACATCTCTTTTACAATGAAACAACCTCTCCCCGAGATTCAAAAGCCCCCTGCTCCATTTGGCCTTCTGGAAGGCCTTGATGACCTGGCTCTTCCCTCAGGTACTGGGTCAGGATATAAGTTGAGTCCAGCATATGTGCAAAGGGCTTTGACATATGAGCCTAGGTAAAATATGTTAGTCTTTAATTTGGTAGACGAGTTGTTGGTGTTTTTTTTAAAAAAATATGGGTTTGATTGTTGTTAGTTTCCCAAGGTTACATTATTATCATCTAAATCTTAATAAGTAAAAATAGTACCAGTAGTCATAGGCACCTTGGGTGCAATCCCAAAACATCTGAAGCATTACTTCAACAACATCAGCATTAACAAAATCATAGTCAATTGCAAAAGGCAGCTTTACTTGGAACAGCTTACATCCTGCAACAATACCTTAACGCCATCCTAGTAACGTCTGCCTATTGCAGGTTATCAGTACACTAGGTGCCATACCAAAGCATTTGGAATGGCTCTTAGAAAATCTGCTCATTGACAAAATATACATTGATTACAAAAGACCACGCTGCTTGGATCTGCACATGTTATCCCTGTACACTACAACATCCTAGGTTCTTGGGAAAATGATATATATGAAGACCAACACTAGCTAAATAACTGGCAGCTGTGATTCTACGTTGTCAAGAGATAATGACAACAATCCTTGAGTATTAAGTGTAGATTTTCTTATGATTTCTCTGATCTTAGTAATACATCTTTTTTTTCTTTCTTCTATGTCCCTTCTTAAAAGTGGAAGTTTGTGTTCTATCATTCTATGCTTTTCTTATCCAAGACTTATCCTCTGGCTTTCTTTGTTTATCATGATAGTTTGCTTTGAAAGTGTTATATCTTTTCATAAGTAAATTTTTCCACTTTGGTTTTTACAACATCTTTTTTCTCTTCCCATAGTTTCTCAGGTTTTCCTTAGCATAAATTAAGTATTTATATTGCTCTTATATTTTGTCCATAATTCTACCAGATATAATCATGTTGACCTGTTTTCTAACTTTCTAAATTTAACCCATATATTGAATGTCGTTAATCTATGATCTGCTCCATAATTTGAACCTCAAAATGTTTTAATTGACTGAATTGACTGGATTGTACTGTGTAGTCAATTTGATGTTAACATTGTGCATCCAAAGATGTCAATGTTTTGAGGCCATGTTTAAATAGCTTAATGCAAATATTGGTAATAAACAATAAATTCTCTGTAAAACACCATTGATCTGTCGCCTTCACTATTCAATTTACCCATCCCAAATCTTCTGGTAATTGGAGGTGTTTCAAATTCCTGCTGCTTTCATTTTGCAATTATACATTAATAATTTTGTTTCCTTCCTTGATATTGCATTTAGCTCTTCTTAAGTATGCCATAACATTTTTAAGTGACTTCTCTCATTATATCTGTAATAGGTGCATATACTAGATATCCACCAATCCTAGTAGATATGATCCATTTTTTAATTAGGTTATAGCAAAGCATTTATTTAGCAATGTCATTTTGTAGAGGCATTTGTCACAACTACCACATGAAGACTAGTTAATTAGACTGAAGGCAAAAAAAATAAAGCTTTTCATGCATTGATACTAAAATGTTTAATGAATCAAAAATGAAGAGTATTGTTGCGCGCCATTACATCTGCATTTATTAAATATCCAAATATCTAAAAGCAGTCACAACTTTTTACCATCAATCAGAGTGGCAAATCAGCTATTTCACTTTGGACACAGCTGCCAATATGTTTTAATAATCAGAATGCTAGTATTTGATTATATTGCTGACTATATAGCAATATTTTGTGGAGGAGGAGGATTGCATCCAGAATAATATAATCTCCTAAGAGTTGTGCATGTTCTGTTCTCAGCTCAAATTACACTCCTCTATTTACTAGGGGAAACTATTAAACGTTCACAAGTTGATCTGGAGCTAATAATATGATCAGACCAAAGCCATAAGGTAATGGAGCAAGTACTTTGAGAAGTTCCTAATTTTACAGTGATACATAAAATTGGACATAGCAATGTAACAATGATCATTGAAATTGCTGAAGTACAAATGAATTATTTTAGAATAAAGTGAACTTAGGTAGAACAGAATGGGTCACTTTAAATCAGATCCACATGATGAACTGTTCAGAACATGACGCCTTATTAAAGAAAACGGGGGCAACGATACTCTTTAATAGAAGTTTCGAACTCCCAGCCCACTGGCCATGTGGTGTTTTCAAATAATTTATGTGATCTGCATAACACACTGTTCACACTGATGATGCTACCCAGCAAGGATGGAGACTAAGCACAGATTAGATCTGTAGGATAAAAAGCACCTCCAGACAAGGAGTACTCCAGCACTGGTAGGAACCTGGTAGCTCACTTCAGTGACTCTTCCAGGAACCTCAGAGCAAGTACTGCTTCTAAGCCACCCAGAGTCTCCCTAAGGCAAGATGGGCAACAAACAAACCTTATGCTAAATTCTCCAGACTGAAGCAGCCAAGAGGCAACATTTTGCCTGGAAAGACTAATTGAGAGGCTGGAACAGCCCAAGTGAAGGAAGGAAGAGGTAGCTGAAGAGGAAAACTAGGTATGACCAACTCACCACAAAAGTCTCTCAGTAAGGAATGGAAAAAACTGCAAACAAACCATTTCTCTCTTGAAGAGAAGGAGGAACTACAGGCATGGAGAAAGAATAGAAAGAATCGGAAAAAGATCTGTGCTCAACAGATGAATAGAATCAAATGATCTGTCATCCAAATGCATCTTAATATTTTACCCAATTCTGTACTTTTACAGCAGAACTTGCCCAATTTTGATTTTGGAGATTTCTTCACAGTGGTTGGCTTTTTTCACACATGCAGCATCTGACCTGTTCTCACCCCAGCTGTAGTTTGCCTTTAGCTTCACTTTCCTTTGGACATTATTGTGAAGAGTGGCCCTTTCAACTCAGGTTCCTGCCTCGATCATACTCGGAAGCACTGAAGCTACAGATCCCCCACATGGCAGCAACATGGCGGTAATTTGCTTGGGCAAAATATATGGGTCACCCTCAAAAAGTATCCTTAAAGGCAGATCATGACTTTTTAGATATGTGCCTCAGCTTGAAAAAACGGTAATTTTAAGTGTTCTTTTAGGTTGCTATGTTGGATGGTGCCCAGGGTTCTTTTTAATTGGTAATTTTTGTTTCAAGACGTTGTAGGGACTTTCAAGTAGCAACATACACATGTTTGGAAGCTCATACATCTTTCCTATCTTTCATTCTTTTGTTTTTTTGAGTCACCACTTTAGAGGAAGTTCCCTATTTAAGGGCTCTTGGAGCAAACCTTCCTTCTTTTTTTAACAAACTATTTCAGAGTTGTGATCTTGTCAGATTACAGACCACAGCTCCTTTTCTTCATCTTGAATTATCTTTTCTGCAACACCATCATATTCAAAAAATGACTTCTATTGTGAAAAAGCAAAAGATTTTAGCCTTATTAATTTGACAATCTAGTCAAAAGGGACATCAGTCTTATCATAACAAAGCACAGAACCAAGAACATATATTTCTTAGTTATTTGGTAATCTTTCTATAGACTACCTGAATGGATGTTATGGAGCACCAGTACTTCTTGGATCAAGTTTTGAAAATCTCAAATTGAGTGCATCTGACATATGGCTGCTGCTTATATGCAGCAGATTCTGGTATATGTACAGTATATATCTGCTGAGGTCTAAATATTCTAGAAAACTGTTCCCTAGATTAATTTACATTTGAAAATTATTCTAGTGCTCAGGTTGTGTTGGACTGAGAAAGATACATCTACTTACCTTTACTCCAGGGTTATCACACATGTATAGGTAATATTTTAATGGAGGCATGGGAAAGTGTTTCTCTAAGTGTAGTGGGAATAGGTGGAGGAAGAGAGGTGATTGTTGCTGTCAATTTTTCTCAGTCACCTTTAGGAAATTGAGATGTTCTGATTTTTCCCAATGAGTTTTGTCATCTTAGTGTTGTTATTGAACTGGAAGAACATTTTAAAGCCGAGTACAATTATCAAGCTTCCATGGTATGTTGTTGTATTGATAAGTTCAGATTTCTATCATTTTGGGTCTCTCCCTCCCTCCCTTCCTTCCTCTGTGTGTGTCGTGTGTGTGTTTGTTCATTATTTTTCTCCTTTTGAAATTTAGAACTAAGCAACCAAAATATTGTGTTACAGATAATTTCATTGTTCTTATGCTCCGTGTTCTATTAGTTACACTTGTACAGAGCATTTGCTCTTGGGGAATTTTTCTTAACTGAACTACCCTGAATTCTTGGCTGCAGACTTAACATATTATTTGGCACCATTAATCACTTTGTGGAAATGTAAAAGACAGCCTATAATTGCTCTGATGTTTGCTTCAGAAACGTGCTATGAATGAATTGGACTTTTCCTTTTTGATATTGTTGTCCTTGGTATAGCCTTCATATAAGATAGGCCTGACTAACTTTGAATTGCCAATCTGAATATAGACACAAGCAATATATCTTTTTCTTGTTGAGGATCCCTGGAAAGTCAAACGTCTTGTTTTCATGCCTGCATAATGTTGTTCTATGTTTGAATTTGTAGCTTATGTCTTATGGAAGCCTATGTTTTAATCCCAGGATAAATGAACAAGGACAGCAAATTCTTTGCTTTGGATAGGAAGCAGTTGCTGTTGCTGGTTGACATGACTTCATTAGAATAGCCAATAGAAAGTGTCAGGCACAATAACCAGGAACATTGTTTTGTTCAAAGCACAGTAGAGTTTATTATTGCTACCTGTAGTACAAGAATCTAGTCAACTAATAGTCAAAGCTAAATTGGATCAACAGAATTTATGGAGGGCTGGACTTGGGTCTCTTGTGACAACACAATGACTCCAAACTGATGGCACTTTTAACACCACCTTCCAGTTCAGCCTCTTCTCCTACAGAAACCAGGAACATTAAGAAACTTGAAGACATTTATGTTACTAACTTGCACCTTGGAAGCACAAGGGAAGGTGGTAAACAGATGGCTCATTCTTTTAATTCAGAAGAAGCTACTTTGCATGAAACATTGTATTATGGTATTTGCTGGGGCTTGCCCATGATAAGGAAGAATTGAATAAGTATTTGCTAGCGATTGGTGAGGTTAGAAATCTGAAATCCTTCAATCAAAATTTTGGGGCGATTGATTAATATTGGCACTGATTATTGGAAATTTCTAACACAATGATACAGTAATTATCTGCTGAGATTTTCTTCCAAAAGCTATTAGAAGCAGAATAAGAAAAGTGTCAGAAAAGAGAAAAGCCACTCAGAATATATGCCCTCTCCATTATGGCAAAGATGGATAGCAGACAATTGAACCATGTAGTTTCAGCAGACAGTTGATTGAGTTCTTTTTGGTAACAGCTGCATATTGGAAATATTGCATTTCCTTGGTGAAAGGAAAAAAATTATATATAGACGGTCTGATTTGGTTGTAAACCTAAAAGTATTGCTTGGAAAACAAATGCTATTGTAATCAATAATGCTTTCAAGTAGATACATGCAATTGGGCAATTCTGAAAATACTTCAGGGAAATCATTGGAAGTTACTAAATAAATATACGTATTTAGGATTGTGTAGCATTTGAGAATATGGGCTGTTAGATTGTCACATAGAATTTTTTTTTTCCTACCTCAGGATAATTCTGGGGATGAATATGTTAAAAACTTAGTGTACTAGGATATAAATGTATTGGGGCCGTGTAAGCATCTAAAAATAGAAAATGTGAGCTCTTAGGGGAGGGAACTGAACAAAATCTGTAGGAGTGAAAATACATACAGTGACCTCTCTTAAGAATTTGTGATGACTCTGAGTTCTATTTCCGTCCATGTCATCTTATTATGGGAGAGGAGATGGAGAATTTATTGAAGATCTATTTTCAAGTCCTATTGTGGCACTATACTTATTAATTAACCTTTCTATCCCACAAAATATAGGGATGTGGTGGCTCATTGGCTAAGGCGCTGAGCTTGTCAGTCAGAACGGTTGGCAGTTCGGGGTTGGAATCCCTAACACCGCGTAACAGAGTGTAATTAAAGCCGGAAATGACTAGCACCTATGTGTGAGGGGAACCTTTACCTTTTACCTTTTATCCCACACAATAAGGTAAATTCAAAGAACAGTTCTTTGATGTTAAGGATAAAATCCTGTGCCTCCAGTTGCATTATAGCTGCTGAAAATAGCAAGTGATTGTGCATATGCATATAGGTGGAGGCATCCTGGACCGACCAGGCTTTGAAACGGCTATGTGCACTTTCTAAAGGATGTGGCTGCTTTAATAGTTCAGAGGGAGTTGTAATATTTTTAAATGCCTTTCACAATCCTAGTATGTATTCTACTGAAGTGGGATTTCAGCAGCACCTGCAACCAAATAAATGGGATCTAGAAGAAGAGAATATTTCATATTTGGGAAAGAGGAGCTGGGATACAAGTAAAAAAACCTTGCTTTTCAACATGTGCAGTGAGAGCTCTTCTTTGATATTTGGCTTAGAACTTATTATTCACCAAATGGTGCTTGTTCTAAAAACCTGTATGTGGTAGATTAAAAACATATTTACTAAAAATCCCCCCAGTCTAAAGCACTAATTTATTAGAAGGGTAACAAATTATAGAGTATTTTTTCCAGAAAATTTCAAACCCCACTCCATCAGGTTTTCAAATCAACATATTTGATTGTGTGGAGGATGTTTTCCTCATAGCAGCAACATTCTTGTTTGATGTTTGTCCAAAGTTCTGGTTGTTTGTCAGAGTTATCATATGGCAAGATGGGTGGCTAATAAATTTGACAAATAAAATAAGTAGAATTAAGGAATGGCAATAGAGGAGCGAGATAAGATGCTGAAGGACAAAATTGTGTGTGTTTTGTGGTCTGTCATGGATCTCCTAATCCAGATATTGCATTCAGGTGTGATAGAAGATTTTTGTGTGTTTATATTTCATATTTCTAAATTACCGATTTCCCTCAGAGATGTTCCTAGCACTAAAGAAGATTTGGGTGCTGTTCCAGCTGACTTCTATTTCTGAAATAGGGAAATTGCTTTTTTTTTTTAAGGAACTATCTACATTGGTGTAAATGTCCTTTTATCGTCTTGATTGTACCCCACATTATTATTTCAACTCTCTGTATATTTGCAGTTAGAACACACGACTACCAGAGATGGTCTGTAGATTGCTTTGGGGGGGGGGGGCAGAGGAGGGAGGGAGGAGAAAGAACAGAAGTTGGACAACATGGCCAAAGACAGGGAATGTGGATTATTTCTGTTAATGGAAATTAATGAGAATTCTCATCTTTGTGACTAAAAGAAGAAATACCTTGATGTATTGCATGGTTGATTAGGAGTTTATGGTGTTGTTTGCTTGCTTGTCTGTTGTTTCTGCAGACTCTTAGCTGTAGAAAAATGTGTTGCCTACCTCATTTCACCACAGATCTGTGGCTACCCTGTTTTCGCAAATGGAAGAGAGGAACTCACATGCACGACTGCAAAACAAAACACAGCTGGCAGCAGAGCTAATTTTAGGTTATTTGCTTGGTCTACATTAACTGTTGTGGAACGGAATTCCAGTAATGGAGAATCTTGAAGGAATCTTTTGACTTTTGAAAATCATTTCATTGGAATTCTTCACTGGAAATTCTGGCACCATTTAAAAATCATGAAGATCTCCCCCCCCCCCCAATTCTTCCTAGCAGCCTTGCCTATTATTGACCAACTATTGGTCCTCTCCCCTCCCCACTGTTGTGTTGATAGGGACTTCATCTGTTGACTGAAGGCTTCTACTGATTCTTCCCTTAACAAAACGTACAATTATCTGTTATTAGAATGTAAGCATTTTTTTTAATTCCATAGCCTT